TCTCAGTATTTACCTGTCAGGTGTGTTCGAGGGGTGTGAAGGGAAGGCAACTAACAGGGAAAAACGTCAAGCCTTTACGACTATATAACTCATGGAAGGGCTAATGTAGAGAAATATAAATAAAATTACAATTTTATTTCTGAACAAGTCCACAAGGGCTGTAATGAGGGTTCGAACCTACGAACGGGATGTTCCCGGATGCGCCCTAGTTCATTTGGTATATAACGTTGTTGTGATGTCTGTGTGTGTGAAATTTCTATATTATACATGATATGTTGTGTAAGATTCGCTACTCGGAACAAAAAGTTCCAAGCAGCACGGGCTATGGTGAGCCCGTAGTAGAGTTATATATACATGATAGCTGGAACAGCAAAAATTGTAATAGAGCAACATAAAGTAATTTTGCAGGTAAACAGAAGGAATAAAAAATTTATTAAACTGTTTACACTGCAGATAAGAGCAGGAGCACGGGTTCAGTAATAAATGTTTAATAACAGCAAAAGATAACTTTTCGCACTTCTCGGCCTACTCCAATAAAATCAGCAGACTTCTAGATGTTACTACTGCTCGGCTTAGACTCGGTTACAAGTATCTCTGGGAATTCTCATTATCTGCTGATGTAGACCTGACCAAATGTAAACTGTGTCAACAAAATTATTCGCACACCCTCCGTCACTATGTGATGGAGTGCGAAAAGATACGTGAATTTAGAGACAATTCTGTAACCAATGTTCCAGCGATGTGTCAATATTTCATTCAAAATGATCTGCTACCGGAAATTTTAGCCAAATATCCCCAGTTTGCTAACTGTAGGTAGTAACTAAGTGATTGTAACCTATCCACCGCTGCCCACTGGATGGGGGGGTGGTGTGCAGGACAAACATATCAATTGTGACACTAGCTCTCCACATATGTCAGTTGCTTAATTTAGAACCTGTACTTGAGGTCGATCTCGAACCCATTGTTGATGTGACGACTTATATTGAATTTTGTAACTAGCTCATCAAGATTGTAACTTGCTTAACTAAATGAATTGTGGGGTTCAGTCCCTGAGCCCATTATGTGCCTCTGTAACCCTTTCCACTACCGCCCACAAGATGGGTATGGGGTGCATAATAAATGAACTAAACTAACTCGGCCTACTATACAAGGCCCGATTTGCTTAATAGGCCGAGTGATTTTCTTTATTTTCAATAAACTGTTTCCAATTGGTTTATTTGAATTATTATTATTATATCATATTAGGAACATAAATTATTGACTTAGTTATGTTAGTTTAGGTTAAGTTAAGACAGGTTGGGTTAGGTTAGGTAGGATAGGTTAGATTCGGTCATGTCTACGTTAGTTTTAACTCGAATTAATACTAATTAATTCATACATAGTAAAATGGATAGCTTTATCATTTCGTAAGTCAAAATATTTAAAAAAATATATAAATTCAGGAAAACTTGGCTTATTAGGCAAATCGGGCATTGCATATTAGGCCGAGAAGTGCGTTCTGGCTACTAGGTACGACATATATATATATATATATATATATATATATATATATATATATATATATATATATATATATATATATATATATATATATATATACACACACACCTTGCATGTAACCAATGTTGTAATGAAATTTTGAATAAAGTTAGATATATATACAAACATACAAAAAGAACAATTCTAGTGTGTGGTCTGGTCAACATACAAAAAGAATAGGGGTGGTAGAAGAAAATATCAAAGTGTTCAGTGAGGATCCACAAGGTCTTCTCTGAGTACTCTTTATTTTCTTCTCCGAGGCTATGGGTCCATATATATATATATATATATATATATATATATATATATATATATATATATATATATATATATATATATATATATATATATATATATATATATTATATATAAATACACATCACAAACAATAAGCATATTACCGAACATAATGAGTGATAAACATATACATTGATGACGTTGTATTGAGTAATAAGGGGTCGTAGAACCCTAGGCTTGGATACAGTATGATAGGAATAAATGGTGTACTACGGTGCGGTTTATAAAATTATATTAATGCAGTTGTATCAAAGAATGATTTATATTGTATGTAGATAATTTAAAGCTTTGCCTATTAGAGCAGTGCAATGTAAAAAATATTAGAAACAAAACCTATTTTATGATATTTCTTCTTTACAAATAACAATTAAAAATATGGAATATAGTGAATAGATTATTAGAAAAAGAGCCACGAATCATTTCATATTAGGGAATTAATCCCTATTCCAGTTCCTAATATTTAGGTAGAGTTAGCCCTAATATTACATTTTCTTTCGTTGTAGCATTTAAAGAAAACCATTATTATATATGGGTAACTAAAGAAAAACACAAAACATTATCTCAAACTTAATATCTAGCTGAAATGCTTATGGTTCCTTACCATAAGTTCCAGATGTGTGAGAGGAGTTTAATGAGCAGAACTTACTTGCCTTATTAAGTAAACTTATCCATAATCGTGAGCTGTAAAGTTCCCTTCATAGTTGGCAGTAGACCTCAGTGATATATTGTTTTTCTTAATTTTTAATCTAGAATACCTAATTGTATTATTTGAAACTTGTAAACAAAAAATCACAAGAAATATTAACTTTTGCCCATTTTTTTTATATCGTAAGAAAACTTAGCCAACGTAAAATAAACAATAAAAAATTTGGATTTTTTATTCAAGTCACACAATCGACTTGAGAATGGTCCAGGACGGACCGAAACGTCGTCGTCCCTTCACTTTCTAGTATGTGGTCTGGTCTACAATAAAAAATCGCTTTGCGTAATGTTGGCTTCATTGGTGTATATAACTCCTCTCCCTATAATTGTCTCTTATTCCTGTGTTCTCTGTACACACATTGTTTAGAATAAAAATAATAATAATAATGTATTATTATTATTATTATTATTTTTTTTATTATTGGGGGAACCCTTGACAAGCCGCTGGATCCCATTTCCCGTCGAAGCCACTAAAAAATTATGGCCCTCAGGTAAATTTAGGTGAATGTATTATTTTTTATAACTTAACGCAAACCAATAACCAGCTATTTTTGTATTTTTAATTTTGTTGAATTTTAAAATGTATTCAGAATTCGTAGTAAAATCTTGCCGATTAGTAAATATCTTAAAACATCACTAATACTGTAATCAACAACCATCGATATTCCTTTTTACACCAACACACCCACCGATCAAATACCCAACCCACCCACTATATTTATGTCTATACCAATACTTCCACCCACACACCCCACAACCCCATTCCCTCCACCCTTACCCCCACCAGATTTACACCCCCACCAAGCCAACCCACCCTCCACCTCCACCCACACATGACCACACCCTCACCTCAACCGCACACACACATCACTTCTAGGCAGTAATGTGGTAGAGGCTGCTGACTCCAAACACAGTTTCAAATGTAGGAATGACGGAGCTCGAGAAGCTCAGAAATCTGTATACCAGTAGATTCACGGTTGAAAGGCGGAACCAAAGAGTTAAAGCTAGGTAAGTACACACACCCAATCTGTATTTTCAACTCTGTATCCAAGCCACACACACTAAATTGTCCTATTTCCAGTGTTTAGTATTAATAAGCCATCTCAATTTATAATGCTATTCAATTCCTAAGCCCAACCCATCCTCTTGGTGAACACTCATTTACCCTCTATATGTATCCACATGTTAAAATACATGTATAGAGCGGAAGGGCGGTAATATACCTTTTTCAATAAAAATATTCATAATATTAGCTTGTATGGTGAGATATACCTGGGATAGGAAGTGGGTATACCGCTTCTGGTCAGCTACAATTATACCATGACTATAGTTGATATTCTTCTTCTTCCTCTTCTTCTTCTTCTTCTTCTTCTTCTTCTTCTTATTATTATTATTATTATTATTATTATTTACAAGTAGTGAAAGCCTATTCTTCCCAGACTTTTCACCTTTCCTCTTCCTTATCAATCAGGAGCCAAAATGAGCTTATTTTGCGTTAACCGTATATAATGGTTAGTGATTTGGCAATGTCCGCTCACAACCGATTGGTCCCAGGTTCAATTGCTGGGCAGGGAGAGACGTATGGGTACGTTTCCTTGCACCTGATGCCGCTGTTCATCTTGCAGTAAATATATGAAAAACTCAGGGTGGTTATAAGCCGCCAAACACACGCCGAAACTACGACGTTGGTACAACGTTCGAACAAGTTTTAACACTTCCTAACCAGTTATAACAACCAATATACCAAGTTGTAATAACGTTCTAATACGTCATAAACACGTTAAGCCAAGATGTAACAACTTTATTACAAGTTGCAACAAGCGGAAAATAGAGACAGTTTCGGTTTGTGTTTTCAGGGAATATATCCAAGTTTATCCCCTTTTTTACGTAACGGTTGGTAACGGGTACAGGAGCGTTGCCTTCCGAAACCCTACGATAGGTTTCAATATATGTTGAAACATTCAGATATATTTTCCGTTGCCCAGTATATTAAAATATTTAGTAGTTGTAATTTATTATTAATTTTAATTGTGGTCTCATTGAGAAATGCGTTAGGCTAAGGCAGCATCAGCAAGCAGCGTGGCAACTTTTACAAACACTAACATGAGCTTCCAACAACCAACAACGAGTCACACACTTTCCTATATTAAGCAGCAAGCTATATACATTTACTCTGGATCCAGTAATGAGGTGATTACGACCATCTTTTCAATGACAGTCAAAACATATATTTATGCCAAACACGTGTTCAGCTTACCTGTTGGTAGTGACCAATCAGAAAGCTTCATTAAGAAGGCGGCAACTGAGCGCAGTCTCCCATTGGCTGACATGCTCTGACGCAGCGTATAAACATCAGTGCGAGCAAGCCAAATTCACCCTTTTAGCCCTGTGCCGTAGATGGCATCTCTCCTGTGTGGAGGCCCCACATCGTGGGTCGCAAGGTTGCCCAGGGTGTGAGTACTCAGAACCAACACGATTCAGTCCTCTGGATATCAGGGTGAAGTGAGTACGGCCGCTGTGTGTACATTAGGACTCGATCTTCCCCGTCCCCGCGACTCTAGGAAAGCAATAAATTCGATTATCTAATGTTTATATAAACACTGCAAGTATTGGATGACTGCTAAGTACTCTACAAGGAGTTGAGTAATTGATCACAGCAGACGTGCCACAGGTGTGTGAACGGGAACAAGATTTTGTTTGTCTGCGGTAATTGTGAAACATCATGCCACCCCTCGTACCGATACAGCTGGTGTCTAGAGCGGTGCAGCAGGTGTGGAGGACGCCACAGCAACTCTCTGCGACTCGAGGACTACTTGAAATCATCAGGTCGTCTTCCTCGGCGGCCAAGCCAGCAGCCACATCTCCAAGTCAGCAGCCGGGCGGGGAAATCACCTCCACACCCATACCTGAAATTACAGATGCGTTCCCACACCTGCAGACGCACGACAGTATACATCAGTTCTCATTGGAGCAGGTGAGACAGTTTATTGACAGGGTTTAGGATGTTGTTCAAGAGATTGATTCTTGTTAATATGATATTGCTTGTTACTGGCGTTCAGGTCCTGTAATAAGCCCAATCGTGTGTGTGTGTGTGTGTGTGTGTGTGTGTGTAGGGTCAGATTTCCCAATAAGCCAAGTAGGTCATAGCCTAGGTCTTAGGACACCAGCTTTTTTTTCCAAAGAAATGGAAAAATATCAAATGATACTTGGAGGAATCAATTACCACTGCCCAATATTTAATCATTATATAATATTATGGTGTGAGCTTTCTATATGTATGCGTTTAGCCTTTGACTTGCTATACTGATCAGAGGGTGAGGGTGGGGCCCATTTAACTGTTTTGGCCTAGGGCCGAAAAACAGTTAGATCCGGCCCATGTGTGTATGTGTTCACCTATTGTGCTTGCGGGGGTTGAGCTTTGGCTCTTTGGTCCCGCCTCTCAATTGTCAATCAATTGGTGTACAGATTCTGGAGCCTATTGGGCTCCATCAAATCTACATTTGAAACTGTGTATGGAGTCTGCCTCTACCACATTACTGTTTAATGTATTCCCTTTGTTAACTACAGTGACACTGATCAAATTCTTTCTAATGTCTCTATGGCCCATCTGAGTACTAAGTTTTCAAGTACTAAGTGTGTGTATTCACCTAGTTGTATTCACCTAGTTGTGCTTGTGGGGGTTGAGCTCTGCTCTTTCGGCTCGCCTCTCAACTGTCAATCAACTGTTTCTACTACTACTTTTTCCCCACAGCCCAGGAAGCAGCCAGTAACAGCTGACTAACTCTCAGGTACCTATTTACTGCTAGGTAACAGGGCAATAATAGGTATAGGTTAAGTGATAATTGTAATTACGAAGCAATAAGATGCTTATCTTAAGATACTAACAAGGTTAGGTAAGGTCGGTGTTTTCTATGAATCTTTTTAAGGGTATCTATTATGTTAAGTATGTCACCTATGCACATATTTATTAAGTCAATATTGACTTATTAAATTTGCGAGAACGGGTTGCAACAGGGGCATGGGGTGAAAGAAGCTCTGCCCATCGTTTCTCTCCGGCGCCCGGGACCACACGATCACGTGTGCAGCGTGCTGTCCGCTCGGCCGGCCGGCTCAGGTGTGTGTGTGTTGCACCATCAATCCAATCTTTACGAGTTATTTGCACTTGTTCTGGCCGTAATACCTTTAATCTTATTGCCTCAATATTTTCAGTGTTTCTTATTAAGGGGGTGATAAACTCTGGGTACTACATACTGTCGTCTATCATCACTGTAACCATTTTACCAATATATATCATTAATGTAACCTCTTCAGATTATCTTCTGGACTGTAACCATCGTCACTACACACCTTCTCTGCCTTTTATCACCTTCCTTATTCTACACCACCCTCCCTGCCCTTCACCAGTTTTCCCCTAAATATTTAATTGCATTTTACCGTGTCGTGGTGTGGTCTAGGGCGCTAGCTTGGGAGTATCAAGTGAGAGGGTTCGAATCCTTCTCAAGGCTCCTACACATATAATATATATATATATATATATATATATATATATATATATATATATATATATATATATATATATATATATATATATATATATATATAAGCAGTCTGGTTTGCTGCGTCAAAGTTTGTCAACATCCTGTAAACAAAGTTTTCCGTGTGTGTATGTGTGTTTGCTTTAAGTTTCTATATGGTATGAGTATACAATATTTCAGGTTGCTTGAAAGCAATTTACAATTTAATGATACAGAACTTTAACCATATTAAAGGGAGGGAGCCGGTCGGCCGAGCGGACAGCACGCTGGACTTGTGATCCTGTGGTCCTGGTTCGATCCCAGGCGCCGGCGAGAAACAATGGGCAGAGTTTCTTTCGCCCTATGCCCTGTTACCTAGCAGTAAAATAGGTACCTGGGTGTTAGTCAGCTGTCACGGGCTGCTTCCTGGGGGTGGAGGCCTGGTCGAGGACCGGGCCGCGGGGACACTAAAAGCCCCGAAATCATCTCAAGAATCTCAAGATATTGATGTTCGTTTGTGACTGTGCCAACCAATAAATACAATAAATAAATAAATACAAAATAATTATAACACGACGCATTCACACTCTCACTGAAACATATTGTTAGTGTGCGAGAGATGACTAGGATTTGATTCTCGCCAAAAACATCTGACGATTTGACGTCATCACACTTGCCTATCATATTACTAGCTGGCATTCCATATCCCAACATTATGTTTGAGTATCAGGGAGTGTGGGTGTAGAAGGGTGGGCATGGGTGTGGTGGGTGTAGAGAAGGGCGGACATGGGTGTGGTGGGTGTAGAGAAGGCTGGGCATGATAAGGTGGAATTAAATTTAAATTTAACACAAGCGTTATTTTGGGATGTGCATTGGCGCGCATGACCGAACGGCCAACGGCCAACTTTCTTGGGACCCGAAATTATTTGTGTAAATTGATTATTTAACAAAAATTGATAAAGGCAGCTATACTGTTTAATTTAAGCAAGGTAGGTGAGGAAATGGCAAAGTACACAAAGTTGGCTCTTCAGTGATTTACAGACTGCCACAACTTATGTGAATTAATTATGTTTCACTTATTTCTCCAAGCTGATGCCTAGGTCCCAGAGTTTGCTGTTTAAATAATGTATTGAGCTTATTAGAGCAGTGTATATTTTTATATGTGGAATGGGGATTACCAGATATTGCATTGTCGTAAACACGACAATGAAGAACCCCGCACCTCTAAGAGTGATTTCGTCTTGGTCAGGAAGGATTGACTGGGAGCTGATCCATAATTTCGCCTTAGTTCACCAAGCAGTAATTGTGGACCTGGTTGTTAACCCATTAGTGGGTAGTGTCCCAGGGAATATTAGTAGGGTAATAAGCTATGGGGAGGGCAAAACTTCAACCCTACTAGCACGAGACAGAAGGCAAGTACGCGTCATTAAGCACTCCAATGAATAAGAAAATTTGACTTCACAATATTAGCTCTTACTGCAAAGTGTGAAGCACACTTCCGGTCTTTGCCTTTCATACAGTATGTCATCATACCTTAGAAAACTTTACACGCATTTGTAGAATATTACTGACGCTGGTATTTAGAAAAGTCGATAATTACATAATTTGCTCTCTCTTCACCTTTTCTCGTAACGTTTTCAGCTTGCGGCGTCGTACTTACAGAATTGTAAAAAATATAATAGTTTAGGTTTCGGCGTAGCTTTGTGTGACAAGCACACTATTGCTGTGTCTAGTCTGGTGCGTACATGAAGATAAGGAGTTTTTTTATTTGTTTAAGGATGCAGATATTGTATAGTATCTCAAAGTGCCGGTGAGATTATATAATCAAATGAACGTTCATTTCATTGGCGCTCAAGAACTTGGCGTCACCGCTCATTCTTTCATGAGTTTCTATCTCGTCCGTTGAATAGTTTCTTTTGCTGTATTTTTTCCCTCACTTTCTATCTTCCCCCCCCCCCTCTCTCTCTCTCTCTCCTTTCTCTCCCTCCCTCTCTCTCTCTCTCTCATCTCTCTCTCTCTCTCTCCTCTCTCTCTCTCTCTCTCTCCTCTCTCTCTCTCTACTCTCTCTCCTCGATCCGAAATACTTAGCTAATCAGCGGCGGACGATTTTTCCTCTGCATCACAAGATAACGAGACATCCTGGTTATCTTCAATATGCTCTTCATCTTGTCCTTATCACGTTACTCGAGAGCCTACTTCCGGGAGTACCTGTGAGAGGTGTCTGTAGATAAATTCAAAAGCTGTAGAACATTTTTATGAGTGAATATAATTTTACTAATTGAACCTGTGGTCGACTTCAAATGCACCCATCGGGTAGAAGTTAATCAAAAGTCACGCTAAAGTATTTATCTTCGCGTTGTCTTTATAATTAATTTAAATTCTGCGTGTAAAGGGAGAATATAGCCAAACTAAAATTATATGGAAATTACACATTTCTTGAAAGCCTAGTTTCAAAAGAAGTGTTGAATAAATGGAAATTTCGTGCGGAGAAAATAAAGAGATTAACGTTTTAGCGGAAACTTACCGATAATTTAGTATTGATTAGAGACAGAAACAACTCGATAAATGTAATGTATAACTCATTTTGCCAAATGCGGCATTTTTTTTCCTTGCTAACTCGGGCTAAATACTAAAAAAAATGATGGTAGAAATTTTAGTTGGACATTTGAGATAAATATTTATCATGAATAGACAATTTGTCAATAAATTCAAAGAATAAATTTCAAAATTTGTTATAGCTCCAGTATCCTAACATTATTCTTTTCCTCTCGACCGGTGACTTCAAATCCTGATCTTGTTTGGTATCCAAATGCCTAGCTTACACAAACTCCTATTCTCTTACTCGGGGCTCAGATTTTTTTATAGTGCAGATATAGCCTTTACTTTGAGCATGATCGCGTTTATGTGATTAATTTTATTCGGCCCTGACGCTTGGCTGTGACCGCGAGTCCAATTGGTTGGATTTTATGTACTATTGCTGGCATTAATATTACACACCATGAAGGCGGATAAGGAAATGTGCGTGCTACAAACTTGAGATTAAACTACACCTAGGCTAGGGATCATCGTCCTTGTTGTTAAAACAATACGCTTTAGTAAATTTAATCTGAAACAGGAGGTTGAAATCATTAGTATTAAGAGAGATGGGGATATTAGGTGAGCCTTGCTAGTTTTAGATAACTTAATATTCCCGCCATATAGATCGGGGTAGCAGCATTGCGGAATTTCTATGGTTGTTTATATAAGTCAACATTAAGCAACACTAGGTGTGTGTGTGTTGGTCTTACTACACACTTATTCATTGTCACGTTGATCGTTTGGTCATTACTGTCAATTCCCCCCTTAGACTTTCCACAGTGGCTGTAAATATTATATTAATATCAATCATATATTCGCGTTTTTTAGCAGAAAATGTGATATATGTGAAATATATATATATATATATATATATATATTTATA